TTAAATAAACAAGTAAAGTTTTTACAAATACGTGATTTTAACACAAAATTAATCAATAAATTAGAAATAACATTTCAAGCACCCAAATTAATTTCAATGTAAATATTGCACATAAAACATGAATAACAAATTCTAACCATTAATTTCATACAATTTATAATAAAGAAAATTAATTGCAAAAATTGAATAGGAGATGTTTAGACAAAATAACACCGAAAATTTACAGTGGTTCGRCAACAACCGACCTACTCCACTTCGCAAACTTGAAGAACTCGACTCTTTCCACGGCTTAGAGTCCAACCGGTAAAATGTTCTTTTTTCTGGAGCAAAAACAAACCCGATACTTTCCACGATTCAAGATCAAACCGTGACAACACTCTTTTTCGGACTCAAGAGCAACCCTTGCAAGAATCGAAATTTTGAAAAACAATCTCACAAACTCTCCCAAAGAGTGATATACAAATTTTCGCTTACAAAATTTGTAAGAAAATTCTTATAAAATAAAGCTGTCAAATAGTYAAGAACATTGAAATTTTAGAGRGATGAAAAATGAAGAAAYTGGAGAGAAAATTGGGGAGGAAATTGTTGGTGAATTTTGAGAGAGAGAGGATGTTAAAATAAAAGAAAGAAAATGGTTGGAAATTGATTTGAAATCAAAATCAWAATCAATTTGGGTTACGAGGAAAGGAAATCAAACTGGAGATTGAAATGGATAAAAACAAAATATATATATATATATTTAATATTAAAATGAGAGCCAAAATTGAGCCGCCTACCTAAATTATCTCTCAAAATAAAGTAGTCACATGTTGTTGGGCTTCAACAAATATCAAAAAGCCATGTTTAGTAATGACTAAATTTACGGCATCCTACTGAAAAATGAACGTAAATTTTATAATATTTCACGTAAATTATGGAGGGGGCAATTTCGATATTTACCCCACCCTTGTTTCACGGGTCTGCCAAATATAAAATAAGACTTTTATATAATATATATATATAATAGGTTTAAATGCTACTCTTTTCGTACTACTCTTCTAAGATGTTGTTCATTTACGTTGAATTTTYAAAATGTCYATTTTAGTTCATATACTTTCGAACTCATTTTGGTCTTGATACTTAAAAAATGACTATTTTGATCCCTTAATTTTCATTTGTATCTCACTTATTTAGATAAAAATTTTAACACGACATTTCCCTCATTAAATTTTATCAAAGGTAGTCATAAATTTGTATTAAATAGTTTTCATCATATACAAAATTTYTGTTACAAAAAAAATATTAATTTTAAAAGTACAGTGACAAATCAGATGCTTTAAAAACAGATTGACTAAAATGAATAAAAATTATAAAGTAGAAGAGGAAATTTTTAAAAAGTATATAGACCAAAATGAATAAAATCCTTTCTAAATATGGTAAATCAAATAAATACGAAACTTTCTTTTAGCTTAAGAATTGTGAGGCTTCATCCATCTCGAGTGGGAATATATACCGYACCTATTAAAATGAAATCTAAAATAAATATTAAAGAAAAATTAGAGATTAAATGAAATCTTTAAAATATATGTTTCACCCAGAGAATGCAAAACGTGGGGATTTGTGTGAGCAAAATAATAAGTTAAAAAATCAAATCTGAAAGATTTTTTTTCTTTTTTTCTTTTTTTTTTTAAATACAAATCTCAAAGGTTGAATGGTCCGTTTAGTGCGATTTGGTAGGATACCATTTACCCTTACAAATTAAATTAATAAAAACTTTATTTATACCTTTTTAATTTTCAGTTAAAAAATTAAGTTAACTTTCTTGTTCGATTATTTAATAAATATTTTTTATTGATCCATTACGTAGTTTAATTAGTTAAAATATTAGTAATCTTCTTCATMGGTGAATATTAATTTACTTTCTTATTTTAATTATAATTATAATATTTTAAAAGAAAGGACGAATTCACATGTGGGATAGAAAAAGTATATTTAAAATCTAGGTGTACTTTCTCATTTTATTTTATTTTTTATTATTATTATTAATGGTTCTATTCCCATTAATATGATAATCTTAATAGGCAATTTAACTATTTAGGCCTCATTTGATAACTATTTTATTTTTTATTTTCTGTTTTTGAAAATTAAGCTCGTAAACCCTATACTTCTACTTAAGTATTTTTTTTATTTTGCATCTACTCTTTTAAAATATTTTCAAAATTAAGCTAAAATTTTAAAACTAAGAATAAAATAGTAGTTTTCAAAAACTTATTTTTTGTTTTTAAATTTAGCTAAGAATTCAAAAATATGTTTCTCATAAAAGTTTAAACATACTAAAAAATTGTTAACAGATAAGTATAACTTTAAAAAACGGARAACAAAATAGTTATCAAACGGAGCTCTAGAGATAAAATACCTTTAAGTCGGTGAACTTCAAAAATTCTTTTTTGGTCCATAAGTTTCAAAATCTTATAATTTATTTCTAGAAGTATTTTAAAATAAATTTGTAGTACAACAAAAAGCTAAGTGAGGTGGAGGGATTCGAACTCATGGCGTGTTTGTCAGTATCAACTAAGGTTGAGCTAAGCTTATCTGGTTTAAAATGATTTAAAAAGATGCTTCTTGTTAATTTTCTATCAAGTAGGATAAGAAAAAAAGCTTTTTGTGTGTTAATTTTAGGTTGATGTGGCAATAAATAAATAATTTTATTAATATAGCTTTTTATTTTGTTCTTACTCTCGTCATTATGGTTTTAGGTTTCAAAAAATATGACTTAAATGTTTGCTTTTATGTTGAGAATAATGTCATCAGATTTTCATGAAAATAAATTATAGATATGTTTATTTTGTGATTATTTTTAGAAATATAAATCTTGGGCCACTATAAATATTGATTAAGAACTGATCAAATTTAATTCAAATAAATCATATAAATTAAATTATTTTAAATTATTAGTTATTTTATATTAATTATGTCTAATTATTGAATTATTTTTATATAATTTAATTTGATTCGATTCAATTCAACCGAGTTGATTCTTACCTTTTTATTTAGTTTTCATTAATTTTTAAAAATTAATTTACATTATTTAAGTTGAATTAGTAAATTGATGGTAAATAGTGTGATTTAAGTTATTTTAGTCAACTAATTTAAAATATCAATCTATTGATTTTTTTTTTTTACATAAAATCTATTGAATTTTTTATTTTTTATTTTTTATTATTTGATAAAGAAGATCCAATTGAATTGGTTTTATATAGTAATCACTTTTAACTGGTTAATTTATATAAAAAAAAAATAGAGTATGTATAAATCATATAAATTTTAAATGCTAGTTATTGAGAAAATTCATGCCTTCAACAATTGCTAAGAGCTGTACTAAAAAAAAAAACAAAAAACAATTGCTAAGAGCTTTGCAAGAAAACTGATTGCTTCAAATTAGTGTCCATGATTTGCTTTTTCTGGTTGATAATATTATCTTTAATGGCTCGCTTTTGAACCGAACAATCATTGAGTTCCAATTTAAAGCGATTAGCCAGCACCTTAGTTACATTTTATACGAAACGTTACATAAGCTAATCGGACGGTAATTAGAGATAGACCTTGGGTGCTTAATCTAACATATACCTATTTAATGTATAATTAGTCGGTACAAATTTTATAAAGAAATAGAACTAGCATAGAAAGTTTTTTCTTAAAAAAAAGAAAAGAAAAGAGTTAAAAAATATTGAAATAGACATGCAAGTGCCAACTCCAAATTATTTAAACGGCTAAGATTTTAGAAATGATAAACAAGAATGGTTACCGAACATTTCTTGAAAATTGGAAATGAAAATAAATTACCAAACTAACTCTTATTAAGTTATAATTTGGTAAAGTTTTAATTTTTAGTTGAACTATTTCTATTTTTTAATTAAAAAATTACACGATTAATTTTTTTTTTTTGGCTCTTGATATCGCTCAGATCTCCATCTCTCGCTTTCTCTCAGAATTGGGAAGGTCGTGGGATAGGAGAGGCGAGTGGCTTCTAAAAATTAGTTGGATATTTTTCTTAGTTAGGAAAAAAATTGAACTAAAGATTTTGATTTCGAGAGCAGAGGGAAAAAAAGAAAAACAATGGCCGAAAAAATTGAACCGAAGATTTAGCAGAAAAAAAAAAGGAAAAACACTAAACGAAAATAAAATATTGAACTGAAGATTTTAATTTTTCAAAATTAAATATCGAAGTTTCAAAATGTACATGGTCCTTTTAAGTTTAGAGTATGTGCATATGTGGTCCTTTAAATTTCAAAATATATCATTTTAGTCCCTCAAATTTGAAAAATTATTCTAATGGTCCCTAAAATAATAAAATAAGAAACAATAAACAATTATCAACCACATTCTAACTATTTTTTTTCTTAAAAATAAAAAACTAAACAAAACACTACAAAAGAGTGAAAAAAAATGAAAACATTATCCAACAAACCCATAAAAAACTAAACAAAAAACTACAAACGAGAAACAAAAAAATAAAACATTATCAAACAAACCCATAAAAAACTAAACAAAAAAAATAAAACATTATCAAACAAACCCATAAAAAACTAAACAAAAAACTACAAACGAGAAACAAAAAAATGAAAACATTATCGAACAAACCCAAAGTTAGAACATCCTAACCTGAAAGAAAAAAGACAAAGTCAAATTATATAACCTCAAGAGAAGAGGTTTCTTTTTTTCCAAATAGACAACTCAAATTATTCCAATTTCATGAGGAACTGCTTTTCACATTTTTCAGTTGAGAAAACCAAAGAATGAAGTTGGTTTTATAATAGAGAGAATATATACCTTCCTGTAAGCCCAACAGTTGACTATAGAGCCAAAACATAACCTCTGTCAACAGCTCCAAGAGGAGGAAGATTTGAATCAACGGATAAAATGCACCCACCTGATTGACTACTAGTTCAAAACAATGCATAAGAAAGGTTGTTTGTGCCGCTTTGAGCACCGAACAGCGAGATATGAATGATAGGAGCGGGGCAGCGAAACCGGGACTGACTTACCATTGAAATAATCAAGAATAGAAATGTTAGAATTGAACAATTATGCAGTGAGCAGCGAGGCTATAATTATTTATTAGTAAAGGACACAATGAAGAAACTTGAACAAACTAACCAAAAGGCGACCAAAGAAATGCATAATAAACACATCCAAATATAAGCACATTAAGAAACCGAAAAACCGTACACGGTGAGGCAACAAACAGTTGAAGCCGACCGAGATACGATGTAGTGAGAAACTCCAGAAGCGCCAGGTCTGGTTTCAGAGTCTCGGGCTCTTCTGTCCAATTATTCTATAAGCAACCCATAACAGCACAGTTATAGACAAACACTCCGACGTGCTCCTTCACACCGAGAAACTTCCAATCCAAGGTGCCATTCCTCATGCCAAACTTCGGAGAACAAGCATTCAGTACGATTGCTTCACCGTTTGGACCTCTTTGTCCACCTACAACCAGAAGTTCCTCCCCACAGGTCTTGAAAGCCAGGCCCCAGCCATTCGAAGAATCCGCCCTCAGAGGAAGCCTTCCGAATACATTCCAGGTGTTCTTCACTTTTTCATACCTCTTAACCAGGTTGGTTAGATACTCCACAGCATATAACTGGTTATCCACCACAGCAACAAGGGGAGGAGCCTGAGCAGCCCTATTGACATAGGGATACATTCCCTCAATTTTCCTCCATTTTCTTGTTTGAAAATTGTACTCCTCCCCACATGTTAGTGAAACAGTGGAGCTCGACATTCCACCAATCACGTAAAACTTCCCATCCATAAAAAAACCCGAACACAATCTACGCGGGGTAGTCATCTTGGGCAACATTTCCCATGTACCCAATGAAGAGTCATACAACTCTGCAGAGTCTAAAACATTCCCATTTATATCACTTCCACCTGCTACAATAGCAATCGGACCAAGGCTACCAGAGCCAAACAGACAGCGACGTCGGTTCATTCCTTGACACTTTACCCAACTATTACAAGTCGAATTATACTTCCATATAGCAAAGTCAAACATCTCACGGCCAAAAACTAACAGTTCGCTTCCTACAGCCAACGATTCCTTGTCTGCATGATTGAAGCACTCATCACAAGGCATCTTAGGCAAAGTCATCCACACTTTCCTCAAAGGATCAAATGCTTCCCAACCCTTTAAATCACAAACCAGATACACCCAATGCTCCTTTATCCCCAAATGCTTCCTCCACCCATATAGATCACCACTTCTCACCAACTTGTTAAACTTTGAGTTAATACATGACAATGAAGTGTAATCTGATTGGCAAACCCAAGCAAGGCAATTCAGGGCCACATCATCAATGAGACCTGGGAACAGTGAATCACTTGATCCAAGATGGTGACCATGATCATCATTCACTCTTCCTCTTGTGTTTAAGTCCAAGAGATGAGGTACTTCTTCTTCTTCATTGTCCACCTCCATACGAGTATGAACACAAATTCTGTTTTCCATGTTAAACAACTATTTCGGTATACCCAAAAAAACCCCACCAAATCCACCAAACAAAAACCATCAAAACGAAAATTTGACTATGCCACATCTCCGGAGAATCCTCCCCATGTCCAGAAAAGAATTCTGATCCTTGTGGGCAACCAGATTCCGTCCATTTATTACTCCTTCCATCAATCTAACAATTTCGACAATCTAGGCCGTGATAACCCTGGAATTTCTCCATCTATGTATCTATACAATTACCAAATAAAAAGCAAAACACCATTCAGCTCCAATCCAAACCATTCAAATTCGAAGCAAACAAACAAAGAGGATTTAGAATCCCGATAATACCCTGAATCGCAACAACTTTCCGGAAGCTTCCCAGCCGCGCTCCGGAAATCCGAACAGAATCGTCATCTGAAAATCGAACATACAATAACAAAGTTAACCACCAATTCACACTCAATCGCAACAGTCGCACAATTGAAAAAATTCAGGGCACCAATCCGATCCCAGTCGGTAATAATCGCATCAATTGAGATCGAAACCCAATTACAACTCGGATCCAGCAGAAGAAACACGAAAGCAATAATCCGAAAGGTGAAAATCAAAGAACAAGAAGAGAGGAAAAGAAAAAAGTAAAGACACGTACCCGGAAGGCCGGAAAGTGAATCTGATCCTTGACTTATGGGTTGCTGGAGGAAAACTACTTGGAACAGAACATATCGCCGGCGACGGCGAGGAGGCGGCGGAGAAATAGGGAGCAGTGGGAGACGAGAGATCGAARGGTGGGGCTAAAGAAAGCAGAAAAATGGGCAGTTTTGGAGCGATGGCCGTACATTTGGATATTTGTACTACTGCCTTCTCTTTACCATCAGCAGTCCAGGGGCGTTCAACGAAACCGATCAAGCTGATAAAATCGATAAACCGAACCGAACCGAACCGAATCGWTTTTTGCGGTTTTTTTGAGGATTGTGGTTCGGTTCGACTGTTCTATTTATAAAACCGACCGAATATATGTATTTTTTTTTAAAACCATCTCATTCATCCTATTCCCCAAGGCCTAAAGTCCATTACACTTCCCAATCACGAGTTTTTGTTTTTTTTTTTTTTTACTTCTTTTTATTGCAACCTCGTGAATGACGATTTAACATATATATTTTTATTTTACTCTCCTTCCTTAAGTTATAAGGTATCTCTTTTAGGTTTCTTCTTGCTCTCCAAATTTCAACTTTCAAGTTTCATTACATAGTGTACTCTTCTTTTTCATTTTATTTCAAACCCTTCATCTTCGCCTTTTTTCTTTCTTCTTCTCCTAAGTTTTATTTTTGTTTTCTTCTAAATCTTCTCGACTGCTACAATGCTCCTCAACATCCCGTATATCCTTTGGTCCTCTCTTAAAATCTCCAAACTAGCACAACTACTGGACCAAGCGTGAGATCAACCCACTATCCATGAGAAATCTATCCGAATCTGCCTAAAATACCCTAAGCGATCAAACCGACAACCCGTCGGTTTATCGGTTTGGTGCGACTCGGTTTTGAGTCGTTTAGCGGTTCGACTCRGTTTCGTATAGTTTCTCTTTTTATAGTCGGTTCGGCTTCGGTTCTGTCATAAAATCGAGCTGAACTGAACCGATTACACTCATAATCATCACTTCATCTAAAGCTCTTTTTTCCTTTTTTTTCTTTTTTTTTTCTTCCATCCTCCTTTTCACTTTTCTTCTTCTTTTTTTTTTTTAATTTCTCTTACAAGAAAAATCATTTTCTCGTTTTTTTAGATTATTTTTGTTGATATCGAGATCTAGTCAAACTTAGTTGGCGACAAAACCAATCGAACTCAATACCAATGTGGTGATCCCCCCAACACCTTCCAATGCCTAACTCAATTTTTGGATCGGAGTAATTGGAGTAGGAGAGAAATAGATTTGCGTGCTAGAAATTAGCGTACCTTGTAAAGAGTTTTGATTCTTCTTTTGTAGTAGGAACATACTTGATGGTGTATCTTCTTGAATTTTGGTAGATAGTGTATAATCAGGTATCACAGATCATTGTCATTGGCATTTAGTTCTGAAATCCTCTGCTCGAAGTTTTGACACAAGCTACCATATTCGTGGCTCGATGGTGCGAGCTTTTATCTTCGTGCTTTATTGTGATTGGGTGAGGCTCGTGGCCTACATGTCCTCACGAATTGTGACCACGGGGCCTATAATAATTTACCCATAACACATTAATTTATCGTTAATTGAGAAAAAGTAATAATATAGGGCACGAAAATTGAGATTGCAAATTACATATAGTGACACATACCCAGAAGACGGAGGATATGAATTTCGTAGAGTTTCTATCTCCAAAAATTATGATCCATACACTGACTTAGGCATCAGAGGATGTTAGGGAGAGCACCACACTAGTGCTGAGTTTGGTTGGTTGCAAGAATTGTATTTGATGGGAACGTCATCGACAAACTAAGTCTCACCATTTCAATTCTGTTATAGCAAAATGAGAAAGAAGACGTTGTTGTGTCTGGAACCCATTGTCTTGAAAGCAAAATTCGGCACGAATAACGTTAAAACCGTTCACGAAATGACCGACCATAATGAGGAAAAACGTCTACAGAATTCAAACGAAATTCAAACTGTTTTACTAAGTTAAATCTGACTTTGATTTTTAATGGGCCTGTTGTGGGTGGATCAAAGTAGCCCAAATGCCACTATTATGCTAATTATTATTATTATTATTATTATTATTATTATTATTATTAATTTTGTAACAAATAGTGGACCACCAAACATAATTTTGTAACAAAAATTATTATTATTATTATTTCCTTTTGAAATTCCTAACAGTCCCTTCAGAATGACCAAAAGAGAAAATATAATATAATAAATAAAAAAAGATTCTGAGTAAATATTGGAATAAAACTTAAGCATTAATATCTTACGATTTGAATTAATGCACAGTGAAGTGAGGCAACAACCTGAGTAGTTAAATGAGTTACCTCTTGAACTTTCACTAACTATGGTTGAGACCCCTACAACACATTTTAATCCTTCATTTCGATTCCACAATATACAACAAGTGCTTTTAATAGCCATGCACATAGAACCTTGGGTCACGTGAAAGTTCTAGAAAGAGACCCTAAAACTCTTTCCTAGAAGGCGGTCTCACCCTCACAATCACGTTAGTGTTTCATCAAGTTTACCAAAGATAAACCCCACTCAAAACTGAGCTATGAAAACTTTGTAACTAATCCATTAAATCTATGAATAGACCACCCAAAAACTGGCTATTGATGTACATTACTCATCAATAATCCATCAAGTCTACACATAGACCACCGAACAAGGGCTATGGACTCACAATTGATGTATCATGGGTGGTTTTAGTCCCATACATGTCGATGACTTAATAATTACTCTCCTTGTTAGGCCATTCGTGAGAGGATCTGCCAAGTTCCTCTCCAAGGATATTACCCTGCCTTTTAGCAACTGTTTCACAGCTCCATGTCTCAGGCGTATATGCCTCCTCTCGCCATTGTACATACTGTTTTTGGCAATCCCTATGGTAGCTTGGGAGTCACAGTGTAGGGACACTGGTACAGATGTCCCCCACAATGACACGTCTCCATGAAGACTTCTGAGCCATTAAACCTCTTGCCCTACTAGTTCGAGTGCTATGAACTCAGACTCCATGGTGCAACGTGCTATGCACGTCTGTTTTGCTGACTTCCACGATATAGCTCCTCCACGTAAAATAAACGCATATCCACTAGTGGAGCTTACCTCATCTTTATCTGTAACCCAGTTTGCATCACAACATCCTTCTAACACAACATGAAATTTGTTAAAATGCAAACTATAATTCATTGTCCCTCTTAAATACCTTAATAAACGATGAAGAGCATTCCAATGTTCTTTACTAGGAATATGTGTATATCTACTCAATCTACTAACAGCATATGCAATATCAGGTCTAGTGTAGTTCATTAAAAACATAACACTACCTATGATCTTTGTGTATTTAGATTGAGATACACTTTCACCCTTATTTTTCTTAAGATTTATGCTCGCATCATAGAGTGTTCTAACAGGTGGTTTATATCAAACCAGTCAAATTTCTTCAGCATTTTCTCAATATAATATGATTGACATAGGGAGAAACCTATCATTTTTCTTTATTTTCACACCAAGTATTACATTGGCAACTCCTAAGTTGTTCATTTCAAAATGTGAAGACAGCAATAACTTGGTATTATTAATGACATCTAAGTTTGTACCAAAAATAAGCATTTCATCAACATATAAGCATATAATCACACATTTAGCTCCAAAACTCTTTGAATAAACGCATCTATCACCACAATTTACTTTATAGTCATTGTTTACTAAAGTACCATTAAATTTTTCATATCACTGTTTAGGAGCTTGTTTTAGACCATAGAGTGATTTTTAAGCTTCACTACAACAAATCTTAGTTTTAATGTCGGACGACAAAAAAATGCGGAGGAAACGATGTCGGACAAGAAAAACACGGAGGCAACCATGTCGGACATGCTAAAAAACACGCCGAATTTTTTATTTTAAATTTTTTTAAGTATCCATGTCGGGCCTAGCCCGCCATTGTAGTTTTAGTTTCAGTGGCGGGCCAGGCCCGCCATGAAAAGTGCCCAATTTTAACCCTAAATTAAAAATTTCACCCAAAATTTTTAC